CATCAGTGCAGCTCAGGATTTTAAGAATGAAACACAAAATAAACACATAATAAATGATATAAAGATTTTACCAAACAAAGGGCTGATATCTGTGAATTGGGGTCGTAGTCTGACTGAAACTATACTTAATATTTCGATAATCGGTGATATGGTAAGAAGCAGTATATTTGATATTCTGATTGGCTGATTCTAGTCTCGCCTCTCATACGATCTCCTATCGACTAATCGGAGGACAAAGGTTGTCGGTTTTTTTTGTTAGACCTATACAATAAACACCACGGAAGGACATATCTAAAGACCATACTGAGGTGAGGTCAGAGAAACGTTACTGCAGGATGTTGGAGAAGATTGGGTTCGAGCAAGCATGGACCACCATGACGGATCGATACACGACCTGGCAGATTGCTGGACCAGGTTCCCTCATCGTCCACGAGGTATGCCTCTCCAATCAATGAGTAATTATATGTATTTTAACTTGTGTTTTTCATTGATGAATTGTCACTTTACAATGGGCCAGTTTTCATACATGGTATTCAGGATTGTAATTGATTGGGGTGGTGGGAGGGTGAGGTGCGTGGGTGTGCAAAAAAGGACCAATGGGGTCTCATAGAACATGTGGCTGGGGTCAAGCAATAGACCCGTGTCGGATCGCAGCTTCGGCGGTGTGACGAATTCCGAGGGCTCGTACTTTTAAAATAAAAGTTGTACAGTAGGTGATATTTGTGGGGATTCAGGGGCGGCGCTAGCAGGGGGTCCAGGGGGAAAACCCCCGTCGGGGACCTCTGGACCTCGCTTGGACCCCCTGCCGGGGAATTTCCGGCAAGGTCGTCGGGGAAAATGAAATCTCGACTGCCGAAAATACAACTTAGGTAGGTAGCCTTACAAGCTGTCAAATTCTAGGGATTTCAACTGTTTAGTGCGAGCAGTGCTACCGTATGTGCGAGTTGTATACTATCGCGATCGTAGGGTTGTGGTAGCGACAGATCTTCCCAGACAGGGGGGGGGGGGCTGGTACCTCCGACAACTGGTTAGTACCCCCCCCCCGACAAGGCCTCTTAACTTATTATTGCATGGTTTTCTATGAAATTATCTTTTTTAAATAAAAAAAATATCATAATCAACACGATTTAGGGGGTGAAGACCACTTGTCGGGCCGGGTTGGACGCCCTTGTCGGGAAGCAGGACCCCTCGTCAGGGAATTCCTGGTGCCGCCCCTGGTGGGGGTTGGGGAAGGGTGTTGCATGGTGCGTACAGCATACCCATCGTATCCTGACTGTGTGACGGACCAGTTAAAGAATGGGCACTGTCAATGTAAACTCACCTTAAAGCGTCATGGTGAAGGTCACGGGGACGCAAAAACTGACGTTCATGTGGAATAATAATATTTTGTTTCTGAAAATACATGGAGGGCAGCCAGAATTTTTCAAATGGGAGGGGGGAACACTATTTTCAGAATATATGAGCAGAGCATAACATTACTGTATATGCGTTTAAATTTTTTAATTTAGTGGCAAAGCGGGGGTTGGAACTTGCCCCAGTGTCCCCCTACTGGATTCGTGCTGGACCAATGAAGAAAAAACGTGTCCCTGGTAATGGTGCATACCATAAGAACTATCCTCAACAATTAGGCCAAATATTGCAGTGGCTATTGTTAATAATAAAAAGGCCTAATATTAATTCTCGCCCGAATCACTTACTTGATTTTGTTCACAACTTTTGGGAACACACTGAGCATTCAGTACGATGGCTTAACACGTCAGGTAGGGCAAACCACTATTAAATCTCTTGAGAAGCAAACACTATCAAAATATCATTGCAGTACCCACTGCCTTATGGGGATCGGTTCAACATGATCTAATGGTTAAATACCAGGCTGGTTTCTTGAGGTCGAGGGTTCGATTCCCACCCTTAAAACATTATCAAGATTTCTTTATTCACAAGTATTTGGGGAACGTACTGAGCATTCAAGTACACGTCGGGTAGGGCAAAACATCATTCCTAATAAATTAATATTAGGCCTATCACAATTCGAATTATATTATTTATCGATTAGTGCTATGTTTATATCGTGTTTCGTGTTTGCAATTTAAGATATCTTACAATGTCAATTTGCATTGGAAGGTGTTGATTACTTACCATGATTCTTTAATTTTTCAATAGACGTTGTACCTGCTAATTTGCCTTCCTGGTTTCGTATTTCAATTTATACCTTACATGCAGAAATACAAGATACAAAAGGTAAGCATTACCGATATCTGCAAATTGCAATAGCCTATAGTATAAAAAACTAAGGTCATTTGCTTATGATAAAAAGGCCTACTTATTTATGTTTTTTTTCGTTCTCGAACAACATGAACCTTTCTTAAGTGTCAAAACTTATAAAAACTGGCCAATGAACCTGCTGTTATTGAATACGCGCTTGTGCCTACAGTACATTTACGACGCTGTTTTTAAATTTTTTTTTTATTGTTATTGAAATCACCCTAAATAAGGCCTGAAAGCCACTTCTAGGAAGGTAAAGGGAGGTCCAATGCCTTAGCAACATTACCCAAGGGGCGGGGCTTAGCGGACTTAATTTTCCCACAACGTACATTGCTGTTGCCATTTTGTGACCATTACGGTAACAATCACAGGTGTTATTCATTTTCTTCTTGCAGAAACCTGAGGGATTTGAGTCGCAGTGGAAGTGTTTCAAGTTGCTTATGTTCAATCACTTTGTCATCCAAATGCCCCTGATATTCGCTATTCATTTGTACACCAAAATATTTAACATCGGCTACGATTACGAGTCAATGCCAACATGGTAGGCATGTTCAGATAGAGACATATGTCAATATTGATATGATAGACGGACGTAAACAAATGTCACGCTATAAGATTTTTTTCACTTTAAATTCAAAAGACAAACCTATAGGCTACACAAGATGCTCTACATGAACTAAAGCTGGGCACTCACTGCGTCGGCCGACGAATGCATCTCTGCTCCATTCGAGCGCTGACGACGCGTTGTCGTCTGCTTGTCGGTGGCAGTCACAACGGATCGTCCATAATACTAACGATTCGTTGCGCGCGTGTCGTTGCGTTGCGTTCTCGTTGTAGTACAGTATAACGTTATTTTCTGACATAAACCGCAACGTTCACAAATTTATATAACGTTTTGTGTTTGCTGGGTAACCACCAAGCCGCAACTGCACTTGAGCTACAAACTATTGTTTTTATGGCGTTACAAATTTACAATAGAACCCCTATTAAGGGCGTTTCCTGAATAAAGGTTTGTCGTAGAGTTAAAAGTTATAGGCCTACATGGCCTATGATTCGCGGCCATCGGTGTCCCCTTTTAGTAGGGGTCCCAAAGAATGGGTTTTATTGTATGCATAATTGTGTTATGAAAACTTTTCTGAAGAATAGGCCTAGTATCTGACAATCCTGAATAACTGAAGATGCCTACGCCTATAATTTTTCATGTCACAATTTTGCTTAAAGGTCAGGCATTCAGGTCAGGTTCATTTTGTTAATATTTTCTCTTTTAGGTATTCTCTCCTGCTCCAGCTTTATGCGTGTCTTATTCTGGAGGACACGTGGCACTACTTCCTCCATCGCGCGCTCCATCATAAGTCGATTTATAAATACGTGCACAAGGTTCATCACAACTTTCAGGTAGGGCAATACTATCATGTGTAAGGGAAATGAAATTCAAGACGTGGTTTTATTGTCCATTCACTTTATCTTCATAAGTCGATGGTCAGCCCCTTATTTAAATAAAACGACAAGAACTATATTCACGATATAACTACAGACAAAAACCATTGAAACAGGCCATTTGAGTTTTAGTTTGTTGGCCCGTATCTTGATATCATTATAATGCCTAAATCGGCCACATATTTTTGTATTAAGAACTGACAATTTTGACGAATGTGTGATTCATGTGGCGGGTGCAGACTTTGAACTTGGATAAGCCAATTAAAAGTAAATTATTTGAAAATACAAGTCCATGCTTTTTCAGGCTCCATTTGGTATGGTCGCCGAGTATGCACATCCTGTCGAGACTGTGGGTAAGTAAAAACGCCTATGGGCTCTCTGTAGATGAAGGGGGCGAAGCACCGGACCCTCAGTCCAAAGGCCCCCTTCCCCAGGAGGCTCTCCTAACAAGTAATAATTAGCACTTGTTTGATATTCCATTGTGAGGGGCTCCTCGTAATCGACTACCAAAATACATGGGCCCCAACACTTTCTCGCCCCCGGACCCCATGACTCGTCGTTACGCCACTCATGACTCAAGTTTAATCTACCCACATCTGCAAGATAAGTAGGCTCTCAAGTAGGCCTAAGACGTATCGCGCGCACATATTAATCATATCACGTAGTGCCATACGCACTGCATCCAATCAGAGAGGATGAGCTCAGCAATAAAAAACAGAAGTAGGTCAATGTGAATATTGGATGATATTTAACTATGGCCTCTTTCGTGATAGAATAAAATGTTTTTTTTTTCTCAACATTAATTGTTTTTCTTTTCTTTCAAGTTCTTGGGTTTGGCTTTTTCATCGGGCCTCTGATGCTCTGCACTCATTTAATCTTACTGTGGACGTGGGTTGCAGTTCGTCTGCTCGAAACGATCGATGTGCACAGTGGCTACAATTTTAAATGGAATCCTCTCCATTTACTGCCATTCTATGGAGGTAGGCCTACAGTACTACAGTAGTGGCAAACTTATAATTGTTTAGAAAATCTATACTTTTGATATCGGTCTTGAACTGTAGGTTAATTTCTTGGAATCTAGATTAATATTTTTGTTTCATGTTTTAAAAACGAAATACTATACGTATGGTAGGCCTAATCAAAATGTTAATAATGTGATATGAATTACGTACCTTTGATATTTAATTAGTGTTTAAACATGAAGAGAGATAATTATATACAGTAATACATTTTCCTTAATGGTTAAAATAAACAACAGATAAACTAATTGGATAGGCCTAATGTAGCACACGTTTCGATAATTTATAATGTACTGTATGCATTTTCGATGTACATAAAATGAATTTGAGATTAAATGATATTTGATCAAAATAAACAATTCTGACATCAGACTTCTGAAGTTCGTAAAATGCATTTCCGTAACTGTAGCATTTCCGTAGCACCTAATAATTTGCCTTGAGTGCAAGATGGGTTGCCAAAAATTGCAGACAAAATGAAGATTTATCGGCCAATTTTTCTTAATTTTCACAATAGGCCTAATTTATCAGTGATCTGAAAAGGAGTTGTCTTAGAGACAATGTAACCAAAGATCCTGATGGAATAGGCCTAGTCATTTGTTCTGGACTTAAAACCTTACTAATGGGTCTAGGCATATGATTTCCGTAGTATTTTTGTCTCTTTCCCTTCGTTCGTAATTAGGCAAAATTTCCGTAGCAACTATAGGTCATAACTACGAAATTACCGTAGTAAATGTTTACTGCTGTGTACATTGGATGTGCCAGCGGGGAGATCCAAGTTGGGGAAAGTACCCCCATCAAAAGAAATCGTCAGGAAAAAGCATCATTACAGCCATTTACAGGCATTAGGGCGTTTTGAACCTTTCTTCAGAGATCCTGGGCCCAACTAATTTGGATATTTGTTGCAGGAAACTCTGACGCCCCCGTGGCTGTACTCGTGCGATCATATATCAAAGAAACAAGGGACGAGTTACAAAATTTCTTGATATTTTACCGAGTAACGAGAGCTGTTTTTTAGACACAGAATCGAACTCATGGAATACATAATACTGAGGATGCATATCTTAGTGTGTAAAATTATATCAAGTGCAAAATTTTAAAAATTCAAACTTACGGTTAAGGTCTTGCAAATTCCAAGACAATAAAGTAAATATTTGTGACAAACGCGCATTTATTTCCAGGCTCTGTTCTGCTTAGTTTTTAAATTTCATTCATACTCCGGTAAGGTCCATTACACACTATTTTGGTTTTTCTAGGGCAGGCATGGCATCATAATTTTGTATTCTTATTAAAAAGAGCCTGTTACACGACGCTACAACCTCACGACTTTCTATATGACGTAAAGATGGCCAGATGGGTAACCATCCACCGGGATAATCATTCCTCCAACCGGAATTAATTTTACACCAAATATTCTTTCACACGTACATTGAGATGATGGGAAAGTGTCTACTGCCCCCTCAAGAGGCCGGCAGACACAAAAACAAAAGAAAATAAAATAGAATTGCAGGACAAGCATTAGTCAAAATTGTCTTTAAATAATTTATATTCCCAGGCTCATTGCAAGCTTGTTTTATATGATCCAGGTATTGGAATGTAAAGTAATAAAACACATGCAATAATATCAGAATACATCCATAATTATATTTCAATAATACTTTCAATATAATTTCAATACACCATCAGGTTCTTATTTCTTGTTTATTGCAGTCATACAATATAAACCATATTTACTGTTCTGTACTGTACACAAATATTATATTCTTTAATAGCTAAATATCAGCCATTGTAATTGAAACACTGACGATAATATATTTCAAATTGCTTTCCTTAATATACATTCCCATTCAAATTGTTTGTGACTTGCATACTTAGAGTTAAAGGTTGAAATAATCATAATGCTCTGTATAAAAACTCATTATGAAGACTTTACAGAATCCTGGAATTTGAGGACAAAATTTGCAATCATTAAGCCACACCTCCACTCTTAATAACTTCATAGTACGTCTGTGGAAAGTTATGGTTCGTTTCAATCCCTGTCATTGTGCAATGGTTGGAAACAAGCACCTCTCTACAGCTCCTATAGTAGTCATGGACAACGGCCATATGCAATTCAGCACATTGTCACTGCGAGTTATAGGTTATTCTCTTACCTTTACCTTTCAATGTTCTTCAAAAAAGTAAACAGACATTTTGTACTCCTGTAAGCTAACAAAGCTATGGACAGTTTAGATGGAATAATTTACAATATACAATAATACCTACTCTTTATGCCAAACCCCACCCCCTCCCGTTCCCGAAATATTCAACACTATGGGTTCAGTACCATGGTCTGGGCTAAATCACACTTTATGCCTATGCTCTACGACATGTCTATTCCGTAATGGCAACCAGTACAAATAATAGCAAAAAACGTATCCATGTTACACCAACAAATATTCAATCTAACATGACCCCAATGACCACCAATTTCATCTGCAATATTTAAACCCACTGACACCTATAAGGTAATGGAAAAAAAGCCTTCTTCTAATTTCATCTGAACTTTACTATGCCAAAGGTCAAGACACAAAAACCCCAAATACAATACTGTATATTTAATATATCATCTGCATTTCATTTGCACTGTATGTCAGCCTATTATCATTCAAATACAGTATTACCATATTAATAATACTGGTTTGCAGTATTCAACTACTAATTACAAACTAACAAATAGTAAGTAATAATGCTTTATTTTAAAAAAATGCAATAGGATGGTAAACACCATTGAATGTTTACACTCCTCGACCTTTGACATTGTAATGCATTTGAAAACAACTAGAGGGCTCCTTGAAGAAGTTTACATTATTAAAATACAGTAACCACATACAGTAGACAAGCTGGAAACTGGTGCCTTATAAATATTCATTATTATTATTATTGTCATTACTACAGTATTAATATTATAATTTAATTAACAACAGAGTTGAGCATTTCTAGGAAACATTATAGGCTGTGTACAGTTGCCATGCCAACCACTGATGTCCCTGTTGACAGCCTGGAGACTATTTGAAATCTTCAGCATTGAACATTCCCTAAAAAGAATAAAACATGTGCATACTATTAACAATCATTATAGAAAATGAAGTTAAAATTCATGATGTATATTTTGATGTACAGTACAGTACTATATTACAAGGTGCTATTATTATGGCTATTCATGATTCAATTGGCATAATGTATAGTAAACTTTAATAAGGTTAAACAAAACCACAAAACCAACCTTACTTGAAAATGTCAAGTTTTAACCAAAAAAAAAAAAAAAAAAAAATTGTTTTCCATATCTCGGTAATACAGCAGATTAGTTGATTAAAAATATTAAACTAATGAATAAACTATCAATTCAATGTAACAAAATAATAAGTAACCATACCTTAGCCCTTCTTAATATTGAGTCTTTGCTTGGATCATATGGACTATCTTTTGATGGGATTTCTAAAACTGCAGGAATTGGTTCAGTGTGGTTATCGATAACATGCCGAATGAGCTCAGCAAAATTCTGGTTTATTAAAATAATTGCTATGTCTTGACGTTCCAAAAACCTTTTAAAGGACTCCTCGATTTCACTTACACTAGTATCTGAAGGGGAAGAAAAAGTAAACCAAAATAGGAAAAAAAATAAAAATACAAGGATCTGTATTAGGTGTGTTATACAGAGTGCAATGGAAAGAATATTTTTATTCATTAAGATAGAAGATGACTGTTGAAAATATGAAAATACTCTTTCTCATAAACATTCATAATTTGTATAATACTAATCTGGACATGTCCCACCTATGACAGAAAGTGATTTGATTCTTGAGAAATAAACATTTACAAATGGACAATAAATGATTAAATGAGCAAAAAAGAAATAAAATATTGATAAATACTGGACAACATATGAGGCATGTCGTGGCGAAATGGTAAGTTGTCGCACAAGCTAGTATTGAGTAAATGAGCTATAAAATATGGAAGCTCAAAAAATTGCCTAAAAATCCAAATTTGTTTTTCACTATAGATCAACAGTTTAATGTCTTATTTATCACTTCCCAAAGTATTAGTTCTTGAAGTGCTCAACAAATCATTTATTTAACGTTATTATATAGTTAATTCTATTAAACAATGTATGCACAAATAACTTTGGAAGGAAATTACTCAAAATCATGTTTATCTTGACTCTAAGAATGCTGTACTTCCACATTCCAATAACTTTGGCATGAAATTTCCAATTTCAATGAATAACCCCTCATTTTAAAGATCACATACTCAGGTATCTGAAAATACCAATAACTTCAATTTTCGATACAACTTAGCCATTTTGTCACAACATACCTCATATGATCATTAATGTTTCCAACAAAAATTTCTTCACCTTTTTCAATGACCTTAAAGTTGGGTTGCCTGCTCTTGTTCATTTCACCAATCCCACCAAGTAGAAAACCGGTGCATGTGTCCTATGTGAATAAAAATAATTCTGTTAACTATAATTTATTCACATTCAACAAAAATGTATTACATATTTATTATTAAATCTATCTATTGTATAAATTTATGTATAATTCGAATATAGCATCTGGAACAATTATATAGTATTATCATGTATCAAAAAAGGTATTATCTAAAATATTTAACCAAGAGATTCTAAAAACAGAAAAATTATACTTTTTAAAATTTTTTTTATTGACTCCTAATATATAAAACTATATCATATCTGAATTTCATCAATGTAGCATCAAAATTTGTTGCACAACAAGACAAAAGATTTCCAATGGTACCCTACAATAAGTTCCTTTTCTTTATTATTTTGAGCATTTGTGATTTTTGTTTGCATTTGTGGCAAATACAAAACTAAAAAAATTAAGTTCCTGTGTCATTTGCCTATACATTGCGAATCTTCATATCCTAAATTTTGTTTTAAGACTAATTTTGGCCACTATCGACATATTAATTTCTTTTTTTAATTGAAATACCAATTCTTTTTAACAATCTGTTATGTGTGACTGTTATTTAGTATGTGGAAATATCAATAAACAAACAAACAAACCAAAACAAACAGAGCAGTTTCTAGCGTTGATACAGGGTGTCCTGCTACTCATCAGTGGATAAACTAACAATTTTACTGTTATTTTATATCCAGAGGTGACGGAACTAGGGGGTGCTGTGTTATGGAGAGTAATGTGTGACCGGAAATGGTCTGCAGTCAGTTAGTTGTTACCATGCGCCAGTGATGTTGGAGTATATACAGTAGTACAGCAATATGAAACTATTAGGCCTAATGAATGAATAAAGTTCAGAGTTTGTCGGGTAGTGAAATGATTATTTCACATTTTAAGTGCTCCCTAAATTCAGTGTAAGCTAAGTGTAAGCTAAATTACGGTGATTAATTCAATTAGCGAAGATATGGAGACAATTATTTTGAATCCCTCTTTCCAAGAGGGGATGCAAATGCTTTGTGAAAATGAGTATGCCGCGGTACTCATTTTCACAAAGAAATACACACAACTGGTTAGCTAACAATTATTATGTCAATGTTACATGAACACCTGGGAAGGAAGGTGCAATCACGTTGTTACCTAGCAAACGTCTGTACTGTATGGGGGAGGGGCTGCTGATGTACTGTGTAGCGGGGGAAGATGAGGCATAAGACTAGGCCTAACTAAGACAGTGGAATTATATGTGATAGAGAGTACACTTTCGGAAGAAATAAATTAAAATAAGAAAAAAGGGCGGCGTTCCGGGAACCCTGTGTTTAGGCGTAGATTAGCTGGGCCAGGTTTAGGTTGATGAATTTTTAGTCCGACGAGCTCTGTCCAATGGGGGGGGGGGGTTGACCTATCCGGTGGGGGGCTTATGCCCCAGCTGCCCCCCTGCTAGCACTGCCACTGGTGTGCAGCTGTCTCTTATACACATCTAGATGTGTATAAGAGACAGTATATATACATGCATATATACATATACATACATATTACATTATAGTTATTATATATATATAATATATATGTATTCTTTATTATATTATTTATATATATATATATATATATATTTATACACACACACATATATACATTTCATTTGTGTGCAGCTATATATCTGGGACCACTGTTGCCTCTGACATAATATTATTCCCCATTACAATTGAATAATTTATTTTAACGACACCACGATGAGCCATAATATGTAGTGCCCCCAACTTGCATGTTCGGCTTCTTCGGCGATCATAAATTTCTTGATTGAATGCATCCTATCAAAGATATTAGAATACATCTTCTAATCGGTAAGTTAGCCGTTCATAATACATGATATGATTAGGCCACGGGAATGAAAGTTGTAGGTTTGCGTCCACCGTCCGCATGCCTAAAAAGCTACCGCACGAAAATTGTCATTTATTTTGAAAAGTTCATTATTTTGAAAAAAAAAAAATACTTCGTTTTAAAAAACGGACTTTCTAAGTTGTAAACAGACAGAAAAACGATCTATTCATCACTGATCACTCGTTGCGAACACGGAGCGATGGCAGGCCTGGCCACATCGCACCATGATCGCCGATCACTGCTGAGGTCATTTACGTGTCAAATCGATCTTTCTGACCAATAGGAAATCTCGTATGTTTAAAGAGGTCTTAAATGTAGAAAAGGATCTGTTTTATAGGCTAGTGTACGTTTATGACTGTAACCATTGTTTCTTGGGAATAAATGTAAAATTACCAATGCCGCGGCTTGTGGACAGCATTTATAAAAAAAATAATGAATAATGAAAAATGAAAAAAAGCCTCATGTGTTTTCAAAATTTTTCGGACGCAAACCTACAACTTTCATTCTCGTGGCCTTAATATCTAAGTAGGCCCATATAATTTGCGTAATGTTCTATATAAAAAATAGTAAATAATATTTTTCATCAAACTTGGGTCGGTTTGGCCAACGATGGGTACGGTTTTATCAAAGATGGGTACAGGTTGACTAAAATTCTGGGTACGGTTTGTGGGTACAGGTTGGCATGGGTACGGTTTGACTGTAATTCGGGCCAGCTAGCTAGCCTAACTAGGCCTGCTCTAGTCGGGTGGTGAGTAGGCCTAGGCCAGCCCAGATTAGGCGGCCCTTCTAATCTTAGTATACTATTACTAATCGAATTAAAGGCATCTTTAGTGTATATGTCAACATGAAAGGTGGGAAAACAAGGAAATTATCCGAAATTACTACCTCATCTCCAATTACTGCAAGTAAACGTCCTTTTTGTGACGAATGTGCCATTTTTCGTTAATCTATCTTATTCTCTGAAACACGACGATCATGTGATTTTTTTTTTTCAGAAAAGATTGCAGTTCATACGCACAGTAGTAGCAGACAGGTGGAACAAAACAATAAAAAATAAATTTAGTTAAACTGTTAATAACTTAATAAATAATACTATATAAAATATATAAATAATGCATAATTTTAATGGGAAGTTAACATACTTTTTTCCACAATACAATTTGATTGAATGAAAAATAAAAGTGAAATATAGGGCACAACTTTTTTTACACTTCCGGGTCGTCTGCTCAGTATTTTTCTGTCTTTCGCAGATCGAAAAATCCCTCACCGACCAATACGTTGGCAGCAGCCGTTCAATTTTTCACAAGGGCGAAGTTCTATAATTATACATAATTGCACGCTTTCCACTAAACATTCAACATCGTAAGTAATATATATTATTTTACGCTTGATTATTCTAACAGATGTGACAAGTCTTGTCCCCTAACTGACTAATAATAACGGATCAGAAACTAGCTAGGCCTCATGGCTAAGCTAGAGAGGAGGTAGGCCACCCAACAATAGCGGGGTCAAAGCAGCTTAGCCCTTAGCAGAGGGTCTTTTGTAGGCCTAGTTTAAAATGGCCCAAATGGGTAACAGAATGATGGATTTACTCACTGCACACACATACTTATACTACAAATTCAAGTTACCTGTTACAAGGCCTAAGTCTTGAGTCTTGGTCTTATTTATTATTTTAATCTTATATGAAAGGAAGTGGTTATTCGCACGGTAGATCATGCGAATAAGCTCATGAGTCTTATTCGCATGGTAGACTTAGCCAATCAGCATTTAAGGTTTCATGACGTAACGGCTGTCATACCGTGCGAATATTTAACACGGTATCGTCTCAAAGGTTCAATGACCTAAATATTTTACGAGATACTTAATTTGTTACGAGAATACCTTTTTAGATAGAACCTATCATACAAACATTGTCTCGCGTGCAAATAGTAACTAATACATTGTTCGCACGGTAGACGTAGCCAATCAGCATCATAGAATGTAATGACACCGTCTTAAAAAAAAAAAGCGCCAGATAAAAGCTTTCTTCTTTGTTTGGCTTCTGGTTGTTCACAATCACAAAAGCAGCCATGAAAGCCTGATGTCAATCAAGGTTATGCATTTAGTGACTCCAATTCATTTGTTGATTTCTTTAAAGAAATTTCAGTACTGTACATACAACAATCTTTCGACAATTATCACAGCTCCCTATGGTCTCTGAGCGCTATGTGCTTTGTGTATATCATTAGGCCTACAATCAATGTATCCAGTAGCATTTCGAAACACTCCAACACATTGGGAAAGGTCCAAAAGGCAGTGAAGAATGTACAGTACATCAATATAAATCTTATTTTCCAGTACAGTATATAGTACATATATTCGGTGGCGGATCCAGGATTTATTATGGTAGAGAGGGATTAGGAAAGACTTTTAGAGATGTGTGAGTCTATAGGTAGGTTAAGTGCAGCACGACTGCAGCCCACAAAATTAAAACCCTATTATAACTGCACATAAAATTGAGTAATTTTGCATCAGTTTGACATCCTCCTCTGTTCCAATTCCCATCATGGTTGGTGCTAAGTAATTAATTTTCTTTTGTTTCCCCATTTAATATTTTTGAATGAAACAAAAATCAATATCACTACTAGGCCCTATGATAGGGGAATATACCACCAGTACATACTCCACAAAGGCTTTTGCATGGCAATTTCTCAAGGATAGCCAAAGAAAAGAGTAAAAGGTCCAGACACAATTCTAAGCTAGGAACTATTGCACTTCAGTTAGGGTTATCGAATCGACTGTCTGTGCTGTGCCCAACTCATACGGTATGCCGTGAAATAATTATACAGTATTTCTATCTACAACATTCTACCGTGCGAACAAGAGTTTTTTTGACAATTCGCACGGTACCCTGCGAATAAGCTCTTATTAGTCTTATTCGCACTGTAGACCTAGCCAATCAGCATTTAAGGTTTCATGACGTAATGGCTGTCATACCGTGCAAATAAGTTCTTATTCCAAATTTGCACGGTACCGTACGAATAACCTCTTCCCTTATGAAATGTAAACCAGTTTGGTGAATGGTTGGTAGGAGGACCTTGATTTTAAAGAAGAAATGATTTGATTTGATGCAAATTTAAACTTTGTATAATAATTGTCTGTTTTTTCAATGTGAGTTTTGATTTTGTTTGGAGAGTATCTCGATAGTAAATATGTTTACCTTTAGGTAATCCACAAACTTGTTTTGTATATGTTTATTTGTATGTTGACTGGAAATTATATTAATAAATGAAATGAAAGTATGCATTGTGTTACCCATCTATTTTTTTTTTTAAATTTTGTTACTTTTGTCATATTACACTAGTATTATGATATGGTTCCAGTGTGATCCATGAGCTGCAGGTATGTAGTAGCTGAGGCAAAATTTCTTCCAATCTGTTCCAATCTAATCCCATCTGGACTGGAGAAGATACGTTAATCAGCCTCAGCTACATATCCAGGGAATCCATTTTAACATGGACTAGAATTCGTAATGCATTCTCCACTTCAAGACCCCTCTAATTCAAGACCACTTGCCCAAAGACCCAAATAACAAACTTCAATCTTTTAACACAAAGCTAACCCTCTAATCTGAGACAGAACTCAGAGACTACCCCAAATTTTCAGGTCCAAAGGTGGTCTCGAATTAAAGGGTAATCTGTTAGGACTACATATAGTGTCAGCTAATAAATAATAATACTGTAAATAACTGATGTATTTTGTTTCAAAAGCACCAATGTTTTACTTGTCTACAGATATGTGTCAGAGATGCCACTGATTGAAGGAATAGGCGATGAAGTGACCATTGTTATTTCCATCCTCATGTTGGTAATCACCATGGCCGTAGCATGGATCTCGACACTGGTGAGAGATCGCCCGGCTACATCCCTTACCTTCACCAGAAATGAGTACTTGGATCAAGAGCTCATTCAGGAAGATGAGCTGCCAGAGGAGGTTTACAACAGCAACATCACTCGGCATGAAATTGAGAACATCGTAGCTGACACCAACCAAGGCGTAGAGAATACTGGAGAAGAGACTGTTTCAACTGATTCAAATGAGGATGACACAAGTAATGAATCTTTGACAAATGGAGCTCAAATTATAAACGATGCTTCTGAAGACAGTACAATGCAATGTTTAGCAACAAACGATATTGAAAATAATCAGTCGGAAATTAAAGACCAAAGTGATACTTTTGTAAAAAAAGAAGATAATGATAAAGAAAAGTCAAAAAATGAAACCGTATGTAGTGAAAACAATGAAGGAGATAAGAGAGATGAAGCAAGTAACCCTTCTCAAAATGTGGAAGAATTATCTTCATCTGAACAAACAGACTCAACTTCACAGGAGCATAATTCATCTACAACTAATGTTGATGTGATAAGAATACGGTTGAAATTTTTGAATGAAAGTGAACGAACTGTTAATGTAAATCCCAACGTCACCTTGCTTCAATTCAAAAGGTAAAGTAAATTTTGAATTAAGATCAAATAAAAAAAAAAAAAAAATTCCATCTGGGATTTTTGAGTTGGTAAAGATAATTCCTCCACCTTTTTCCTCCACAAAGGTGGCTCAACACACCCCGCTCTCCTCCTTCTCCCCCCCCCCCACTTCACACACACACCCACATGCACACAGTCTGTGAGACCTAGATGAGGAGGTTTTGTTGTCTTGTTGAAGTAAAAAAAAAAGAGTTCAATATTACATGGCCGACGATAATCGTAATAAAATAAAAAAAATATTTTGTTAACTAGCACACCCACCCCCCCACAGAACTATGGAAATGTAAAAAAAGAAAATAACATTTTTACTTTTTTTTTTACGCCTACAGCCGATTTGAAATTCTCAAAAATAAGAAACCTTTTCCCTTGTTTATATCAATTTTAAGCATCAATCCCATTACTACATTGTTTAACATAACATCGCCTTCTTTACGATTAGGCAATAGGATCTCTTGCAAACACTTATTTTTTTTCATGAATGACATTTTATTTTTATTTTTTCTTCACCTAGATATGCTTTTTGCAAAAGCATTTTGCTGAATACATTTATTTCTATTTTTTCGTCCTGTTCTGACGGTCTTTGAAGAAAATAAGTTTGCCAAACAAGGTATAAAAATAGTCTTAACTATTAAAGTGTACTAAACAAAAATTGGCATTGAGGAGCATGTGATCCAGATGTTAATTGCTTACACAGCTAATGCTACCCACTGATTTCTATAACAATAGCCATTAACTCTACAGCAAAAACTGTAACCACCCACGCTGTTTGCAAATGCCAGTCTGGTCAAGTTCTTTTAGATCGCTAACAATCCAAATTATTTTGCGCTATTTAAAACTGCACAAACAGGTTTTCCCAGTATAAAGAATAAAGAAATAAAAATGTTACAATGTCCAGGGTCCAAGCATTTTATAATTAATTATTAATAACGTAAAGAATTTACTATTTGATACATTGTAAACATAAACTCTAGAGTAGTAAAAGTCATGAAAATATTCATGAAAAAGAATTAGAAGCGATGATTTACCAGCTTTCATCGATAAATGGTCAGCTTTATTTACAATTCCCTTGGGAAAACACATGAATTATACTGGATGAATGTATACGTTTCTTAATTTTTATTTATTTATATTATTTTATTATTTTTTCATTATGCCGGGCCAGGGCCCAGGGGCACTTGCCCCGGTTTCCCTGGCCTCACGGCACCACTGAACATACAATTCTCTTATTACACTTGCACTCTTATATTTTTCAGGGATACATTTGTTGAAGAGACAAGCCAAGGATTTACTTTACGCCTGATCTTAAACGGCCATCTGTTACAAGATGACCAGAGGACGTTAGCACAGCTCAACATCAATAACAATTGTGTTATCCACTGTCAACTTTTACAGGCGGACAGCATTACAAATACCGCCCCCAATGTCATCAACTCGGAACTGGATATTGGACAAGTTATGATTCCAATGTTTGCAGTGCTTTTAGGCTTAGTATGGTATGTAAGGTTAGAGTATAGGCACCTCTTCAATGCTACCTCTACTCTATCCTTACTAGGTGTCAGTGTTTTATTCTTATTGGCTGTCCTAGCCTCTTGGAGATCCTAATCTAAATAACACTTCAAAGTAAGTTGTTCAGAAGTCTCAAGATTGTCGCATCCAGGAGTTCTGTTTAACATGTTGGCTGTCAGAGACGCGTATACTCGTCTCACAGGGTGTTGCTTCTTTGTTATACATTGTAGGACCACACATTCAATGGCTGGTAGTTCGGGGAAGATACACCTAGATGATAAAGTACAAATGATGTATGTTTATTGTGTTATGTTGCGGGGACACCCTTTGAACATATACAGCCCATGCAAAAAGCGGACGAGATAACTTGCACTTGGCAGAGTCAATGAATAGTGATGTCGCAGTGCTGTCGACAAGTTTACTCCCCCCCCTCCCAATATTTTCCCGCCAATTTATTAGACACATCATTTTGATGATATATGACTAGATAAAATTTTCAGAAAAGTATGTTTGTACATGTAAAATTGTTTTTGCAGACAGGAAGGAACCTTAAAAAAAAGGTCTGGCAGTGAATGTGTTCAACAAGCTTTCTTAGCACATCTAATTTATTTTTGTGTGCATGGAGATACCTATTTCCGTGACACAATTGATAAATAAACTAGTATTATGAATTTGCGGAAGATGGGTCATTTTTCTGGAGATTCATGCATGACTGCGGGAGGAATCCCAATTTCCTGGTGACTTGGTACCCAGCTTGGGACCCTGGGTTGTTGACATTTTTTGTTAATGTAGAAGCGACTGACACATTGGTTGTGGCTTGGACTCCCAACATTGAGGTTCAGGGTTCGAAACTCTGGCTGTGCAAGTCGCTTGTGTCCTTGGGCAAGGCACTTTACCTACGGTTGCCTCTCTCCACCCGGGAGTACAAGTGGGTACCTGGTAGGTTCAAACAGCCATGCGCTGATTGCAGCTGCAACATTATGGAATTCTCACAAGAGGCCAGAGTATGTGTTCCACCATTTGTGCTTGATCGAGTGACCTGGGGTAATAATGCAAAGCGCATAGAGGTCTCTACAATATGTGCTATATTCCCGCCAATTTATTAGACACATCATTTTGATGATATATGACTAGATAAAATTTCAGAAAAGTATGTTTGTACATGTAAAATTGTTTTTGCAGACAGGAAGGAACCTTAAAAAAAAGGTCTGGCAGTGGCAGTGAATGTGTTCAACAAGCTTTCTTAACACATCTAATTTATTTTTGTGTGCATGGAGATACCTATTTCCGTGACACAATTGATAAATAAACTAGTATTATGAATTTGCGGAAGATGGGTCATTTTTCCGGAGATTCGTGCATGACTGCAGGAGGAATCCCAATTTCCTGGTGACTTGGTACCCAGCTTGGGACCCTGGGTTGTTGACATTTTTTGTTAATGTAGAAGCGACTGACACATTGGTTGTGGCTTGGACTCCCAACATTGAGGTTCAGGGTTCGAAACTCTGGCTGTGCAAGTCGCTTGTGTCCTTGGGCAAGGCACTTTACCTACGGTTGCCTCTCTCCACCCTGGAAGTACAAGTGGGTACCTGGTAGGTTCAAACAGCCATGCGCTGATTGCAGCTGCAACATTATGGAATTCTCACAAGAGGCCAGAGTATGTGTTCCACCATTTGTGCTTGATCGAGTGACCTGGGGTAATAATGCAAAGCGCATAGAGGTCTCTACAATATGTGCTATATAAGTCGCCAGTTATTATTATTAATAACAATTTTATTTTCTATATTAGTTTACTGTATATAAACTTTAAATTATGCTATTTATCCCAGTCATATGATTATCAACATTATAATTAAAAATCTATACAGTACTGTACATTAATATTGTTAAAGTTATTGTTATTTTGTTTTATTGTATTATGCTATCATTATTGATGTTATTATTAAAAGATGACAAATTTCTCAAAATTTTTTTTCTCGGAAGGCAAATGTATATTGTTTATAAATAAAACACTTGTAAAGGAGCTTTTAAATGGTCTGTATAAAGAGGGCAGCAGACTTGTAATTACCAAAACATAATGGATTCGGTACATTTCATCAAAGTGCACTTTACAGTAAAATTCTCACCGACACTTTAATGAAATAATGACCCAGCACCTCTACAACATCCTTACTGTCAAGGCAACGTACTGTCTCTAGTACATATAATTATGCAATATAATTTTATACACAATCATGTGAAAACTATTTTTAATTATCTGTACTGTATTGACTTATGTAAAGTTGTGTTAGTTTTTATGGGGGGGGGGCAGGCACTATTTATTATTTCGATTAAAGGGAAGTACCTCTAATAAATCACATATTCCTAAACATTCAACAAAAAAGTTGAAAATGTAATGGACAGATGCAGGAATAATACACATTATTTGAAAGTTAATTTTGACAACTTCTTTTGCTTGGTAGTCAGTAAGGTGTCAAACATTTTAGCACATACTATGGGGTGGTGGGGGATCACCTTCTACCTCTCCACTAATACCATGGTGAAAATAGCAAAATGCGGGGTCCCAAGTTGGAACAAGTCATTTCTGGAAGATCTGTGGGGAAAGGGAGGCTGTCTCTTATACACATCCAGGGAGGGTCTACAGCACCTGAGCCTCACCATGGTGGCTGCAGAGGCAGGAAATCTATAATTATGGCATCTGCTCTAGATGGCCGGAAATGGCCCTGCCGAACATAAATTTGAATATAATTTTCTTTTCTACCCCATTTAAAAAACATTTATTTTGAAATATTTAGGGGGCCCAGGCCAGCTCTTCCCACCCCCTTAAATCCACCACTGATCTGGGTAATGAGCTCTCTGAACATCTTAACACATTTCATTTTGCTGCACATAGTGATACCCATCGGCACTGACTTTCGTGAGAAAATCGATATAAAGCAGTGAAAACATGCAAATTAAATTATGAATTTCCGGGAGGTTCTTGCTAGCGGGAGTACGGGAGGTACTTGGTACCCCTGAAAGTGGGTCCAACAGTTGTCTTATTAAAAAAAAAAAGATTTTTGTGAAATAAAAAAGAGGAATGGTTGATTTCTATGTAAGAATAGCTAATTTTTATATTTTCTACCAGTTATTAAACACAAGTCTTCAAAAGTCAGCAATTTTCCTTAGGCTTCAACACTGCAATGGCAGGCTACTCAAGTACTACTGAACTTCTTTCGTATTTTGCCTAATTATGGATGTACAGAGATAGAAAAAAATACAACAGAAATTTTTCAAAGGCCTAAGACCAATAAATAGTTCTGAGGTCCAGAACAAATGACTTTTCTATCAGGACCTTTGGTTACTATTGTCCCAAGACAACTCATACTTGTAGATTTATGGATAAATTATTGTGAAAAAGTGGCCCGTAAATCGTCACACTGTCCCGTTTAAAATTCCACAGAGATATTATCCTGTACCTGTAATTTAAGCAACCCATACTTTGCACTCAAGACAAATTATTAGGCGCAACGGAAATGTTGTACTGTATTTACTACAGATATTTCAAGACTTGGTTACTGAAATGCATTTTACTAAACTTGAAGTCTGTAATGACTATGTAGGACTTTTGCTATTGCAACCCACTCTAGAATGCTCAATCTTCACCACCGAGCTCTGATTAGTTGTGAAAATCCTACCAATATACAGTAGTGATAATTCATCATACATACATCACACTAGAAATTAAACCCTGGAATGCCCCTCATTCAAAAGCAACTTGGCTTCTGAAAAGCAGTTGGTGGATGTTTATATTTTTGTCAGTTAAACTCCATGGATTGTTAAAACTACACATTACAAGCAATGCTGCAGCCAGCTATTGGGACAGTCCCACACAATTTTTCTAATGGGTCCACATTTTAAAAAATTGGTCCAAGTTTTGCAATTTTATGCATAAAATGAGTCCACTTTTTGAAAAGTTGTCCAGAATTCTCATATTTAGCCTAAAATGGGTTAAAAGTTTAGGAAAATGGGTCCAGATTTATCATATTTTTGTGTAAAATGGGTTAACATTTAAGAAAATGGGTCCACATTATTTGACTTTACGCGTAAAGCGGGTCCACCCTGACATTGTCCCACATTGTTTGAAAATCCTGGTTACGGCATTGATTACAAGATGGTTCATATTTAACTAGGATAACCCAAAGGGGAAGAAGAGGATGTTTTTTTGGCAACATTTAATGTTTAATGTTTAATGGACGTTGCTTTCAAGATGCCAGTCATTATTATGAAGTGCAATTTTATAGGGCTTCACACTGTTATTACTGATTATTTAATATACTGTATAAACATTACATGACATATATAATGTCTACTTGTCCATTTATACATTCAAGATGGCAAATTCTATCAATATAGTAGAATATTTGGAAAAAAAAAAATTTTCTGAAAATTTAGGGGACCCAACCAACTGGGGCACCACATTTACATTGAATCCACCACTGGCAATATTTAAACAATACAAACAAGTGGTGCAAACCAAGGGCTGGTTGGGCTTCTCGTCAAGGTTCCAAACTAAACCCCTTGTTTTGGTTTGGATTAAGATAGTAAAAAGTGTGCAATTAGAATTTAATCACAATCAACTTTGCTGGATTGCGAAATATGACTTTGAACTGACAAAGAGGTTCATGTTTGTCTGGGGATGTGGGAGGGGGATGTTGACTCTCGCAACTCAGACTAAATTGGAAATCCCAAAAACATCTAAAAAAAATTGAAATAGGAATGTAGACAGAAACAGTTTATAGAGTACCTTGAACAGTTCAACTTTAATATATCAACATGCTACATAATTAAAATTTTATCAGAATAATAATTATAAAAGCATAATAATTAAAATGACAATATCAAAACAAGACTTTATATTCATGCGACGGATTATCTCTGATTTTTTTAAACTTTGAAATTACTCCTTAATGCAAAAATCTAAGGAATAATATTTACTGGAAGTTATGAAAAGGAAAAAAAAAGTTTTGGTAGAGTTGAGCTGTGGTTTGCTTGTCAAGATGCCCAACTTCTAATCCGCAGGTGAAGGGTTCTATCATATGGTTATACAGCAAGCATAAAGTATCCCAATTGATTTCCTGTCCTGGATTCAAGAACTCCCTTGTTTAGTATGTTGTAAACCAGCAGTAGTAGTGATCTTTACAATCATGAGGTCATCTAATTTGCATAAAAAACATTAATTCTAATATTTAGTAATCCTTAAGGTAATTAAAATTTCTGACTACTAAAATCATGAAAATAGCAACATGCAATTTTTGTTTTATATAGTTTAAAATTAGGAATAATAAAGTGGAGAAGACCCACTAGAAAAAAAAAAAAATCATTTTTGGTTGTATTTCGTTTATAAAAATTTCTTAAATTTCTCACATCAACTCTAACTGAATTTTATCTTAAATTTAAATATTGTCCCTCTTTTCAAAAATGATATTCACCCTAAAAAAGGCAATAGTAAGATTCAGCCATAATTGTTAAATTGATAGACAGGTAAAAAGGTTTTTTTTTTTTTTTAACAATCCATGAATTCTGGGCAAATCCTTAAACATTTCCCATTGTTATACAATTGCAATTTTAACAGAGGTGAACTTCTTGTCAATACCCAAGAGACAAACACACAAAAGCACCAAAATGAAACCAGTTGAATATACCTATTGCCTACCTAGTGAATTCTACTACGAAATATATATTTACTGAAGTATATTAAAATCACCTAAACTAATTTTTTACAAAGGGGCTTATTGTTTCCTAATCCAAAGTGAATTCATCAAACTATGAAAACTAAAATTACGAAGATTACTTAAAGTGTTGGAAAATAAGAGGCAGACATTTTGAATATGTACTTTGCCTATATTTGAATGTCATTATAGTTTTTCTATTATAAATTTGTGGTTAGGTGTATGAATTAAGCGATTTACATAGCATATGGCTTATATAATTGAGGCTCAAATGCATGAGATTTACCCTGTAATTAATTCTATGGATACAAGGCATCAAAATAAAAATAAGCAATATTTCAATTAAAAGAAGCGGTGGCACCAGGAATTTGCTAACAAGGGGTTTGACATGTCCAACGGGTCTGAGCCAAGGGGCCGACGCAGCCTCAGTCGATGGCCCGGAATAAAAACTCCCTTGTAGGTTTCACGGTGAGAGTTTTTATGGCTTACTATGGTCTAAATTAATGTGCTTTTAGACTACAATATTAGGGATTGGCAGTCAAAATAATGTTATTTGGATAGGAAAATAATAATTTTTTTAAATTTTTGATTTAATTTTCAAGGAAAATTCCCCCTGCCCCTCGCTGGCGCCACCACTGTTTAAAAGCAGGGAAAACCTAAAGATTAATTTTTTATTTTTTTGTTATGGAAAGTAGAAATGAAAGCAATTTTTCATCTTGAATGTTTTGAAATAAGGAGCTACATTCTAAATTAACTTCAAGGCATGGATAATTATCTACAACAATTAAAATCATTTGCATAGAAATCACTGACAAAATGTATTAAGCACAAGATTAACAATCAATATATTGGACTTTGTCATTTCTATTACAGCATTAAAAAAACAAGGCATTATATAAGAATAAAGACTAAATGAGTAACTTTCATTTCAACCATAAAACAACCAATTTTTTTATATATTTCAGGTAAAAACTACCTTATGTAAATGTAATTCTAAGTAGGAGTTTACAGCTCTAAGTTTTACACTTATCAGTTAAAAAAATATCCAGAAAATCACGAGCAGACTCAAAATACATTTTCTATATATATCGCATGATGTAACAATATCATAGTTTCTATGAAGTAAATAGTGTGGTAGCGGTTTTAGTCTTAACATACAACGACCAAGCTGAGTTGGACGACACTTTTAATATTTTTTGAATGCTAAGCTTCTGTTCACACAGTGATTTCCTTTAGGCAACTGTGCAGAAATTTCTTTATGGTCTTGTCCTTTGTGAATACTTTCAAATTTTATGTGATAAATCTGTGTGATGTGTAATGGGCATGAAAATGTCATATTACTATCACATTTTATGTGACAAGTACATGTAATTTGCACATAACATGGGCATTATTATACCCAAATAAGTGCAAGTCACACACATTTATCACATTGAACTTGATAGTGTGGACAGAGCAGACAATAGTCACATAAGTAAAATCTCTGTGTGAACGGAAGCTTATGGTAAAAAAAATATTATGCAAAGTGCTATATATCTCATCTTTATCATAGCTTATTAAAAATAACAAGAAGCTGACAGTCTGATCAAGAAGAGATTCATCTATTTTCTCTCAACAAAATCAATATACAATTTACTTACATTAAACAAATATGAAAATGTAATGGAAATATATATATCAAGAATATTTCATTAACAACATGCTTGATATCGGATTTTGATTTAGGGTATTAAAACGATACAAAATTTAATGATCTTATTCTTCAACATCAGCGTTCTTACCGATAACATTTATACTAAATTTCATCGCATGGTTATTCTAATAAGATTGGTCTGGAATTTCCATTCTGTGGCGAATCTACTGCCCTTGTATTAAAATAACTAAATTTATGCTCTGCACATCACCTCGGGAATACTAAGGCTATCTAAACTTTGTCTACGTAATTTGAAGGCAGCATTCCTGTTCGTCCCGTGCTCTCTACGGTCCCCGTCATCCAACCGTCATCGATGATCTCAGGGTTTATGATGATATCTCCTTCCACAAACGACACTTCATCGTGATCGGCAGCACTGTAGTCGTAAAGAGCAACGTATTTTGTACCTCCCTAAAAAAACCCAAATAGAAGAGATCAGTTTACAAAGTACAAAATAGTCTCCAAGTACTAAACATATCAGACTTTTGACTTGACACTTTCAGTGTCAATTTAAGATAATTTATTTCAATCCAACAGGAACTCATTAAGACACTGTGTGGTTACAAAGAGTTACAGAATTATGTAATAAAAGCTTAAGTGTAAAACTATGTTCAGGGAAGGGGGGGGGAATCCCCCAAAACAGCTCACAAAAGAGAATGAAAAAGCAAGGAGGAAGAGGGGAGAGAGAAAAGAAAATGGTATTAATAGTGCTGCATGATACCTCTATAAAAGTACTTTGTGGACGGTACTTGAATTGATTTTATTTTACAATCGACTACCACACCCCTTCCCTCAGGCTTGGTGTGCTTTGCACTGGCTCCTACCCAGATTTTACTCTGGATCCACCTTAAATAGTTATCAACTCAAAGAGGACATAAAAAGTAGGACATGAAGATCAAACAAATTAATAAGATTACATCATCAAACCTGTTTTTAATATTATAACATTGATATATCAATTTTTGTGGTGCGCAAACTTCTTAAATTGTTATGTTGATGCATGTCCTGTCCTATTTTTAAGTGTAATTTTTACCAACATTTTAGTTTTTGAATGCATTGTTTTCATACAAAGTTATTATTATCACAAATAAAAAGAGGATTTTTATATTTGTATCAGACAGCAAATGGACTTGATAAGTTTAAATATATGTAATATCATCAGGCCTCTCAAGTACAAGTATGTTTTGAAAAAAAAAACCTGATTATTTTATTTTACTCTACAAAAGAATTAATTCCCAAAAGGCAGCTATGATTACACTTCCTTGCTTACTCTCAATAATTTAGCTGTTGATGAGCTAACATTGACAGTAGTCCAATCCAAAATGTAAACACTTCTATTTTCCTCATTTTAGATTTAAAAGTAACTATATTTATTAACAATTTAGTTATACTTTAGACTTGATGACAAGGTGCATTACACTAAATCCTAAATACACTAAAAATAAAAGAAGCTGCTACGCATCTTATAACCACACAGAGACAAACTACACCCACTAGACTAAATTAACAATATAAATTACAGTCAATGTTGATGGGTAGAGAATTAAATTAAAATAAAAATATTATAGAGAGACATACCTTACTGGGGTATCCTCCTGCATGTCCATACCCACCAACTGGTTTGGCTTTAAAGAACAAAAAAATATCAAGTTAAAAAACAAATGGAATAATTCTGGCAAACAGCCAAGAAGTAATCGGTAGTGTTCCCAAGTTGGGAGAAGCTACTTCTGGGTGATCTGATTTAATGAACACATCTGAACTTGTCTATATGTGTATAGACAGCAAACTTTGGTGAGGCAAATACTGTACACTAAAACAGGCAAACATTTCTGAATTTATGAGAGGTAGGTTAGTTTACTGGGGTTATTGCTTGTTCATAAAATGTATAGGGTAACATTTTTTAGTTTGTTTTTCCGAGGGACTACTAGGAATTATGGGAGAATTGGGATCACTGAATTGGTATAAATACAGTACACTCCTGGTGAATAATAATGACGATGCTGACGATGCTGTAATCAATAATCAGAAGAATGATGATTGGTTACTGCATTTTAATAAATTTTTAACAAGATAAGTAATATTGATGATAATTATTTAATAACAAAAACAATATTAATATTTATAATAGAAATTATTTTAAAATTTCATAATATAATAATAATAATCATCATCATCAGTGATAACAGAAGACAGTTATTTGTGTAACAACTGTATGTATTTTGGAAATAAACAAAATCAAACATAATAGTAAAAACAATAACAATTATATTAATTATTAAAATAGAAAAACTAATAAACAAAAATTACCACAAATAAGTACATATATAACTATATGTATTTATGTATGAAATAATAAAATTAAATAACAAAAACTATAAATAAGTATAGTATTTATTAAGAGTAAAATTAATAATATTAAACAAAAATTAGCACAAATAATTACATGCTTAAATTAATCAATCAATAAATCAACATCAAGCTTTCCAGCAATTCTTAGGAAGATTCTGCATATCATAAACTTAAGAATTATTTTCGATGAAACAAGAGAACAAAGGTCACAGACAGAGCTGAGTTCAATAGAACATTCTTAAATAACAGTGTACAAGCTGGATATCAGGGTCTATTTAAGCAAACGTCCAATTCAGGTTTTTAGCTAAATATTGGACAACACAAATGACAAACACAATTAATCAGATTAAATGTTTTCATAACCATCATGCTCAGGAAAATCTATTTATATTAATTAATTCTTATTATCTTTACTAATATTTTTCTTTCTTTTAATTTATTATCATCTAAAACAGAAAGTATCTCAGCCCTTGCAGGATGTAATAGATGCATCTTGTGGCTTTAAAAAGCCAACCACACGGGGAGGGTACCCTTAAACATTTATGTATATGTATACACAGGGAGTTGTTATAGTGACTGAAACTCCAGCATCGGCATATTCAGCTCAGCTACCAGTCTCACATATAAACAGCTCAGCAGAATCTGCTCATAATAGTTTGCACAATTGATTCTGCTGAGCTATTTTCTTGTGAGGGTGGCAACTCGCTATGTACAGCAGCTTTGAGAGGCGTTATATAAATCATATAAAATATAAATTTAGAAACCTAAAATTAGGTACAAACATTGAATGTGACAAAAGGCACTTAAACTTACATACAACATACATAAAACACATGTACACACATGAATATTCATAATAAATTAATACAGTACATGTAACATTCTGTGTCTAATGTAGAATAAATCACAACTCTCACAAAAAAACATGACATTTAGTACAGGGGCTGACTGGGAACCAGATAGTTACTGGTCCGATAACTAAACTAGGGGCACTGGGAGCCTGCGAGGAGTACTGCTATTTTGACAGTGAAGTGGTATTAGAAACTATTTAGTACCACTTTCAAAACTTCATATTCGTTATCTCAATTGCCATTTTTGCTTTCTACCATCTGATAAAGGCAAATCTGCAGTATATTACTGTACTGTTTCTAATGTACAATGGTATAAAGAATATGGAGAATGTACATGTAAGGTTCTGTTTCTAAATGTAAAACAACCACAAAGCACATAAAACATACAATACATTTAATACATAATGTATAGTTTCTAATGTACAATGGTATGATGAAGGAGGTTGAGAATATACAGTATGGTACACATATGAGTATACAGTACTTGAAATCTCCAAAGATAAGATATGTATATTTCTTCCTAATTACAGTATATAAATTTGAAGCATTTAACCATCCTATTTCACATTCACCAATAAAATTTTATATTTATTTTCTCCTCTATCTGGATGTTTTTGGCAAAACTATTTGCTAAATAAGAAAAACAAAATTTTATTTTTATTTAAAAAAATAAGTACGCAAAACAACGAATTAAAAAAGCCCAATGTACAACAATTACAAAACACATAAACAAACATACAATATAGTCAGTACATAATGTATTGTTTCTAATGTACAATGGTATGATGAAGGAGGTTGAGGATATACAGTATGGTACACATATGAGTATACAGTACTGTACAATCACAAAACACATAAACAAACTTACAATACTGTCAGTACATAATGTATTGTTTCTAATGCAGAATGTTATGAAGAACAATGTAGAGAATGCACAGAATGGTACCTGTTGTTTACACTTAATTGTATTATCTATTATTATTATTCAACAGGCCATAGCAGTTTCTTATTGGTCCAACCATAGCGGACAGCTTCCTACCTTAATACAACCTTGCTACTAAAGGTAATGGCAAAAGGTGGTTTTTATCAAGGCATATGTCCAAATGTTTATAGTGAACAAAATGATATACAGTAACAAACAAAAATAAAACATAAACAAAAAATAAAAAAATAATTAAAAAAATTAATAAAAGGAATTAAAAATAATAAAAAATGCATTTAAATAATGAACAACAGGTTACTTTGGAATGTACTCACACACAGCTTAGATTTTCTTAAAGCCAAATAATTATCACATTAAAATATTTACACAAAATATATTGTGACTCGCTTATAAAACCCTACCAACATCTTAATTAAAAACATGTAACTTTGTTTAAGTTAGTTTGTGAGGAATTTAGGCTTTTAAGGATAAGATTATTTACAGATTTACATTTAAACATTTACAAATTACATACTTGGGAATTGTCTTATTCAAGTTACAGCATTACAAAACTTGTTAAATTTTATATTAAATTTATTATGTTAATAGGAAACATACGGTAATTTATAATAATACTTTTCTATTATATTAAAACAACAAACAGAATTTTATAGACCGATATAAATATCTTGTAGGTATAGTTACCTAACTTAAAAATCTTATTCAACTACTGCAGTCACTTATTAGTAATTTCACCTTTTTTTTAAAGTGGACTAGTCCAAGATCAAGACTTCTCGGTCATTCATTTCAACACCTAAATTCATGCAATCGTTATGAAATGAATAGCCCATGCCGACAATGCAATCTACAAATTCATCACCGATATTTAACATGGCTTTTGATCCACGGATCAATATAAACAAATACTTCCCAGCAGATCAATTTTAATTATTGTTAAATATTTAAATAATTATCATCCGTATCCGTCAAAACATGAATATACAAAGGTACGTGGCAATAAACATGGAATATTATCTCTTCAATTTGGATATTAGTGTTGTAAGGATTTTTCTGTTCCATAAACTTGAACAATATTAAGAATCGGAACTAACATTGTTCCCCAGGGAAAGTTGCAAAATAGCATGTTTGATTTTGAATGTGAAGTCTTCCCTTGAGAAAATTTAATATTGGAGAACAAGAATGAAAACACTCCTCACAATGCTACACAATGTGCATATTTGTTTCTGTGATGATATCTTGTAATGTAATGTGTTTTTAAATTCTTGTGTAACACTTCTCATGATGCTACACAATGTTAATATTTGGTTCTGTACTGAAATCTTGTTGCCATGTTTTTTCATTCTTCTTTAACCTGAGCAATTGTGCCTAAAACAGGTTTCACGAAAGACTGCGGAATCTAAATCAAACTGACAAGGAAACGGAAATTAATCTAAAGGAGGACAATGGGCCTAAATGGCAGAACATTATTTTATTGTTGCGTGTAGTATATAGTATGCGGTCAACTGGCCAATTTTAATCTTCCAAGTTTTCAAAAAGCAACCAAAATCGATATTACATTTGTGTAGAAAAAAGATTAATTGAAAATGTTTAAAATAACAACACCATGTAGCTTGTCCACTAATTTCATATTTATATTCTATTTAGATTTTTTCAACAATAACAAATGACACTGGAAAAAGAGAAGTATGTGCTTCTTATATTTTTGAATTTTAATCATTTGTCTATTTTAATCTAGGTCAAAAGCCATGTGATGCGCTGAATGGATGGTTCGGATTGGACTAAATTTCTAATGTCTAATCTAAGTAGGTTATGAATATTCATCAGGTCATTCCAGCCATTTTTAGATGGACTCTTCACATCTTATAATACACTTACCCCATTCGTTTCCTATTGCTAGGAGACAAGAAAGAAATTAAGGTATAAAAAAAAGAAAACCAAATACAACTAACGAACAATTTACTAAAGTATTCTAAATAATCAAATAATTAACAAAGGAGTTATGATGGGGGACAGAAAGGGGGGGGGGTTTGAGGAATATTAAATTGGGCAATTGGGTGAGAAATAGCATGAAGTAAACGATAATTTTAAGCTTTGTAATTATCTAACATTAGGAACTATTATAAGCCAATTTGCATTTTAGTTAGTCATAATTCAATGTTAATTAATATTCATGGTCAAACAGAAGTCATTGTATTGGTTAACCTTTGTACAGCAATGCTATCAATTAACTTGTGTTGCATTACCAGTTGTCTTAAATAATAATAAAGTAGTTTGATGGCCTCCAAAGCATTAACTCTAGAAGTTGAGTAAAATGACTAATTAACAATTAACACATCTAATGAGTGGGAATTGATAATAATGACTTATGATAGAAAAGCAAACAATAACTGTATTGTGATAATTTTGAAATCTTCACATCTTTCACCACAATATAGGAAATGTGACATTATCACCATCCAATAACCAGTATTATGGTATGGTGTTTTCTAGTACAAACAAACAAATGATTGGATAGTCAGAGATGAAAGTGGTTGCTGAGAAGGGTTGTTCAATATAAACTCAAAACAATGAAATCAGAGCTCTAGCAATTGAGTTTCATATTTTATGTTGCTTATTATTATACAGTAAGCAAATTAGCATAATGTTAAAAATCAGATAAACCCAACTAAATAAAAGATTGAAAAATGATAATTAAAGAGGAAGAAGAGATATGGTCTTATCATAGCAATATTTTTAAAATCGATTAAATAAAAGAATCCAAATGAATTGAAGTCTGAATAACTAAATGTAAAAATGTGGCAACAGTTAAAAAAAGAATGCAATTAAACGCAATAAAAAACAAAAAAAACAAAACACAGAAACCATGATTATTATTATTAAACTCTGGGTTGCTAACCTTCTTGTAAGTCACGCATTGGATTGTATTCGGCTGGTTCGGCGGGATTTACATCAGAGGAAGGGGGTAAATCAGGTTCATCATGCAATTTTGTTTGGTCAGAGTCAAGATCAGGAGATGGGATATCATTATTTGTTGTAATGTCAGCAGGTGGGGTGAGGTCAGCAAGTGGGGAGAGGTCAGCAAGTGGTTTGAGGTCAGCAAGTGGTTCGAGGTCAGCAGGTGGGATAAGGTCAGCGGGTGGGGTGGGATCATCAGGGACAACAGGAATTTCATCAGTAGTGGGAGGATAATTGTTAGAAGGAACAGCAGGTGTTGGAACATCATTCATTTCAGGTTTTGTCATTGCAACGTCACATTGTTCAGGTTGTTGGTCCGATGATGTTTTACGATACGCCACTGTAAGAAAGGAAATACAATGCAGGTCAATAAAAATACAACACAAGAAGATATATCAAATATTCATAATAAACATTAAATATCATGCAGAAAAGATGCACAAACCCAAGCATACCATATACTACAGTATACCAAACATGGTTATATAATAGATAACAGAGACTTACTGTATATAGGGTACTAGTGTGCTAACTCAAATTTATAATGCTCAAAAAATATATTTGAGGGTTAAATACTAATTTACCTCTACGATTGTTCTTCTAAATTATGCAACCGTGAAGTTTCAATTCAAAAAAAATTGTGTGTATCTTTGGGTAGACAAGATTTTCTAATCTCTTAATTCAAAATGGAGTGCAATAATTTGTTCGAATATGCACAGTACTATCATGATGCAACGTTGCTTTAGCCAATCTGTCATTATGGCACTGTCGTGAGACCATGCACTGTGTGTTTTGGTGACGAAAATACATAATTTGCCGTTGTCCTCTCACTAGTTTAGCGCACTAGCACTCTTAATCTGATAACTCGCTCTTTAATGAATGATCAAGTGACCTTCCATCATTTTCATAATTTTCCAAGAGTACAAAACATAGGCAATGGGTTTTGTGGGGGTGGAGGGGGAATTGGTTGACAGTGTAGATGTATTCTTTTATGAAAAATATAAATGATGATTTCACGGTGACAAAAATAATTTTACTGTTATGGAACTTCTTCTGAAAAAGGGGGAGGGGAGGCAGGGGGTAAGAGAGGTGACACCAAAAAGAATTATGTTTTGTACTCTTGTGAAATTAATATATCATAAATATATTGTATCATTAAAAAAAGTGTATTTTAAAGTAATTACTCTCAAATTAAAGCAGCTCACTCACAACTTGTTTTTACAATGATTTGTTCGCTCATACTTATAGACTTAATCCTCATGGTTAAATTGTACTTGTTGTACAGTAACATCAATTAGATGCTGTGCAGCACGTAGCCTACAGTAATCTAGATGTCTTAAGTAGAAATTTAGAATATTGTAAACACCAGTGTAACAACAGGTTGCAAGATATTTGCTTTAAAAAGATATAGATAGATTAAAAGAAGTCAAACCACACAACATGCATCCAAGTTAGTTAGATAACAACCTCAATTCAATTCAAGTGTACTTCTACAAGAGATTATAACTATTATCTAAATATATATTGCCATGCATAAATATATGGGATAGTAATACTTCAACAAATATATACAAACAATACACAAATCACAAGTATATAGGCATAGATATGCATAAAAAACCATGCAGTATAGAAAAATTCACTATATTATTGATGATTAAAATACCCAGTGGATTAATTTTAGTTTTTTTCCCTGATGCCTCAAGTGCAGAAAAATATGGTACAGTATTTGAAAGCAGAGTTTCTCTGAAAAAACATTATTTTTTTGCCTCACGTTCATGGCCAATATTCCATCATTATTTTTTCCAGACAATTGGAAATTCATGGAGAAACATACTGTAGATGGGCAACTGACTGTCCAAAGACCTTTTCAAACATATCTGGGGTTTATGGTTTATTTAGACCCATAAAGCACAAAAATCCTCTTGCTTTGGGGGTTTTGCTGACCCCACCGGGGCTTCGACTGTGGACCTCACGCCCAGAAAACCCCCCCTTGGAAGAACCTGTCGACGGGCCTGTGAAGTCATTTTACGGAAGGCAATAATATAAATAGCAAGGAGAAAGGGAACACAGCCACTGGCTATTACTATAACCGGAAACGCACATAAAGGAAAAACACAATAAAAAGTATGGATTGGAGGTGTCAATAATGATAATTGTTCGTTGTTGTATACAGAAAGCTTTGTCTAGGGCTTAGGATGATGATTCAGTATCAGTGAGTTGTAAATGCTGTAACACTATTGAGTAATTACAGTACAGTACAATCAGCGAGTTGTTTATAACAACTCCCTGGTACAATTGAGGGAAGGTCCTTCTTGATTAAATTTGAAATAACATGCACATCAATTTGATTTGGTGAACACATGTTATGAAAACCACTGAAGACAATAAGAAAAAATTCTCAAATCTTAGACGCTGTCTGCTACTGATGACTTAACTTTGAGCTGAACAAATGTGACAGGCCAATGAAGTACATGAACGACTGCTAATTTGCCTTTGTTTAATTCAGAGTCTGGCTTCTACGTACTTACAACACTTGACAAGCGATACAAGTTCTTATGACTCATGACAAGATGGGACTTCACAAATTTCCTAAGCATTTATCAATAACTGCTTCAAGCTGGAATTCTTTGTATGGAAGATTTATTTGAAGTAGAACAGCTGAATTAATTATACCAGTAATTATATAAAAATTGCTCTCTATAATCCATAAAAAGTAGAATATAACTATGTTTAAAATGAATTAAAGATTTAGAGTTTATAGTATAATAAACATTTGAGAATAACATGTTTAAACCCAACACCTTCTGATTACCATTCTGATACTCTACCAACTGAGCTACGAAGCCAAGTGGTATTCCTTGAATTTTCCCAATAGGACACTTTTTTTCTCAAGGTACAGTACTAGGTAATACTGTACGCAATGAATAATCTAAATCACATGATAGTACCATTGGTATGGCGATATACCTCCACTAGTGGCAATTAAAGATGATTTGTATTTGATAAAAAAAAAATGTAAGTCCCTATCAGGATTCGAACCCAAGACCTTCTGATTACTGTTCAGATACTCTACCTACTGAGCTATAAGGCCAAGTGGTATACACCCTTCGATTTTTTCAATTAGTTTATAGTAGAAATTGAAATGAAGGATGAATATACACACTACCATAATATTTTCCTATTGTAACAATGGATTATAATGATAATGAAATGTAAAAATGGTTCAGACTGGTAAAATAACAATGAGGTTGAATATGTAATCAGCTTCTGGCTTTCACTGCTACATCAGTCTTAAATCGTATAGTGTAACATCAGGTTCGTCCAGATTATTGGAAGTAAATAACACTTCCCCAAATTCAGAAGTGTAATAATAATGTTCAAGGAGGAATGTTGGGTAAAAGTAGTCTAGGCCTATACAACACACACTAATACCTATACAACACACACTATAGCACCCCCGTCAACAAAATATAATACAACAGGGCATCAACAAAGTAAAGTGAAGCAAAATATAAATGATTGGTTGATGATTTATTCAGAAAGATGAACTCGCACTCACATCCAGCTCTGAACAAAACTCAAACTAAACTGTTAAAAAACTATTATAAAAACAGTCAAGAAGAAATTTGTTCTCATCGAAACCTAAAATCATTCCCATCGGTTTATCACAGTAAAACAATTACTATTGTTTAATAACGATATTTCATAATACGTGACTCACTTTTAATTGGTTGTGGCAAGTGCTCAAAATGTGTGATCAATGCACGACTGATACATGATTAGAAGAACTAGATTTAACCAGATATGCGCACGCGCAATACTGGAACAAAAAAAAAATCAACGTTACACTATAAGTAGAAATAAAAATTCAGACCCAAAACCGAATTACAATAACAGCTTTGTAATTAGAAAAAAATTGTTATAGGATTAAAGAGAACTCATTCTTGCTACTGCATCAATCAGTTGCCCTACTGTATGTAAAGAGATGGTTAGCAAAAATTTCAGTTGGTTTAAACCAACACTTACCCTCAGTCCCACCCTAGGGATATGGTCTCACGATACGGGTGTGGTGGTTGATAAACTAATATTGTCATACTGTAGGTTTTGAATGAAAAGATTTAATAAGCTATTATTTCTCTCATAAAAAATATATGCTTATACAATTTTATGGGTTGGGGGGGGAGAGAGGAGTGATTTTGAGGCTAAAACCTGTTTTGATACCCTCCAAATCCACCCCTGAGCAGAGCAGTAAAAATCCAGACTCAGAGTATGGTGAGAGAGGGTCCAATCTCAAAACCTAATGCTGTTTCGACTTGTGTTTTACATTAGGATACAGTATTACTTTATGTGCGTACCCTAACCTTCAGGTTGGACATCAAGATGTTGGGCTTTTTTTTTTTTTTAGATGGGCTTCTTATCAAGGCTATTTTTGCTAAGTAAAGAAGGAGCCTCTTTTCAAGATGAATGCTGTAAATTTTGGGACCACTGTTGAGTATTAAATCAATCTGCATCTTGGAGTGTATTAACCGGCATTAAATCACCTAAACTACTGTATAAACCAAGCATGTTTTAATCATTTTTTTTGTTTCCTTGAAATTCATTTACAGTGTATACTGTACTGTACAAAAGCGAATGCTATCTTGAAAAGAAGCCTATGGGCTTCTTTTTGAGGCTACTCTTGTAAACTAAAGAGAGGGCTTCAATTCGAGATGGGCTTCTTCTTGAGATTAAGCCCATTGGACTTCTATTCATATCAAGGTTTTACGGTATTTGCACATAATATAAACTCAGAACAATATTCGAAAAGTGTATGGAATTGTCCCCATTGTACAGTAATAATGATTTTAGGCACTTCAAGTCCCTAGGGTCCTACACAAAAATTCCTTGTTGACTGAAGTCAACAAGGAACATAATACATATTTACATTTATGTTACGGCAACACTGAAGTATTCAAAGCAGTATTGTAACTGATATTGTAGTCACAAATCGTACCACATAGTGCCAACTCCAAAAATAAATTTCTCTTGCCTCAGGGTTCCAATGTTTTGATGATGTATGCGCTGGTTAGAATCATGATATATTTCCATGTTAGAATCTAGTAGAATGTAACAAAGTAGAGGATAAATCATGCTTTTGATGAGATGCAAGATGGACCGAAATCCCTCAATTCTGATGGCTAAATAACCTTTAAAATGATTGGCTGTTTCAAGGTTTCATGAAGAACATCATTTTTTTTACATCTAATGTTAAAGAATTTGACTGAAAATCTCTAAAGTGAACAAATTTAGAAACCAATTATTATATTAGCCAAGGATAATTAATTGAAAAAAAAATATATTACAAATTTGATGATGACAATAAGCAATTTGTGTATTCAATCCTATACTTAAGTGATTGACAACTATAAATATGATAAATTAATTAATTACAATAAATTTGAGAATGCTCAAAAAGAATAGTATGTATATTACAAACCAAACATAAACATAGAATGAACGTTACTCTAAAAAGAGGTGACACAATAAAGGTCATCTCTCTGATCATCTCTTTGAATTTGAATATTCCAACGACCTCATTATGGCATCAAACTAACTTAGAAAAATAATTTTAGAAAATCATCTTATTCCAATAAATGATGTTGTATCGCTAATATGGTGTGTTGCATTTCCGGAAGCATGTTTAACACACATACTTAATTATACAGTATGAGCGATAATGATTATTGTCTAAATTGTAAATTAGGCCCATAACAGTAAGTTTCTCCTTGTACAAGTAACACCTCAAGTGGCTATGGAGACCTTAGCAGATCCCACTGAACATTGCCTCATATGCTAATACTGTACTCTATGTCCACTAACAAACATTTCCTATGCATCTTAATGTCACACTTGTGTCAATCCTTCAATTGTGATTACTTCCTGTCACAGCCAATACTGTACTGCCTCTGGGATTCACAACTAATGCGATTTCCAGCTGAGGTTGATAAAAAATCAAAACGTAAACATAATACTGTAGAAACCAAGAAGAAAAACTAAAGCAAGCCGTAAAATTTCCAACATGAAATGAAATAATGAACTAAGTTTATGTCACTCATGAACGTCTGCAAGTAACAATGCTTGATGTTGCACAACCAGCGGTCAGAGGCCCTGAGCACTAATCTCAAGCTGTCATATTAGTTCTCTTAAAGCAAGTATAGTAACTTGCCACTTTCAGTATGATTCTGTCTGTAAACATGAGGCATTGGAAGTGGAGTTTTCTTTTTTAGCAAGTATAAAAAAATTCTGGTGTTCAGGGTTGTAGTAGAAAAATAAGGGCGGGTAATACACATTTTAAGAGTGGGTGGGTGATAACATTGTTAAACTCTAAATAATGAGAGTGAATTTTAAGGATGGGAAAAGTGGGTTAATAAGGGTAGGTGGAAAGCCATGAAATTAGCTTTACACAGGGTGGAAAACTAGGTAGTCCATCCCACCATAACTACACCTCTGGGTGTTCCCAGGATTTTAGTCTAGGCACCTGACACAGTCAAACCGTTAGTATTTGCTTAAAGTTTAAGTAAACTACGTAAGTAATACCCATCTTCATGCTAATATGTAAATCCCTTAATTTTTACAGTCCTTTAATTTTTAATTCTATGAATCATCTCAAATTTAAGGGTTCAGCTTATAACAATACGCAAACACTGTAAAGCCACATTTTTAGGCAGCTAGGTTAGCGTATATGTCTGGCCATCACTGAAAGTGAAAATTGGTAAGTAGAAATCTTAATTATTGGTAGATAAAACAGTTTTTAAGGTTGTAAAAATTAAGGGTTTATATAGTACTGTAAATATACTGAAAACAAGCAAAAAACATTGATATTAATGTGTTTCTTACCAGAATATATCAGGAACAGACAAGGAATAAAGAATAAAAACAAATGATAAATAACAGTATCTTGTAAAATTACAGAATTCAAAATAGATGATAAAATAATGTTGGTTTTGTACACTAAAAAACTTTGTCCGCACTTATCAAATTTTGATGTGCCTATATATGATCATGATGTGCCTATATATGGTCATGATGTACCTATATGGTCATGATGTGATGTTATGACCATATTTAGGCATGTCACATGATTTTCTCAAATATAATTTAATAGTCTAGACAGGGCTTAATGACAATCCATCCAATAACACTGACCACATATCACACTTAATGTATAGTAGTAATTTAAAAATAAACTAGACCTCTATCTTCTTTAATCTTTACAACACAAAACAAAAAAAGTCATATGGCCAAATAAAAAAAATTATTAGTTTATCACCCTCGCGTGCATGACTTCTATGGTATAGAAAAAATATACAGTATATATTTTTGAAGAAAAAAAAAAAAATCCACCCCACCCCTCCCCCCAAAAAATGATTATTTTTTCCTTTTTTAAAATAAAAAGTTAGTATAGATTGTTTGTATTATCTCAATCATGTTTTACTTGGAGTATCAATGCACCAGCAAACAACCCAATGGCGATATTTGTCTTTACCAAAATAAAAAATAAAAAGCCTCCCTCCATCATCACTTTTCCAGCCTATATAGGGTGATCAGCTAATAATAATTTTTATTGGGCCTAATATTAATAAGCTAAAAATAGATAAAATCTTAAAGATTACATCCTCCTATTCTTATGGTTTTCCTGTATAGACACAGCATTTAAGTACTTTACTAATATTTCATTCGATTATCTTCAAAATGTCATTCATTACTTGCACTGAGGTCAATTACCATATTTGGCAATGATACCGGTAGGCATAATCATGACAGCGATTGGCTGAGCTACAGGGGTGTGCTTCACATAAGCTTTGAGCTTTACTAGATGATGATCTCATATTCTGTAGGCCTATAGCTTCTGTCACCATAATATACCGTAGTGCCAATTGCATAAATTAAGCTACCAGTACTCAATTTATACTTCACGAATCAATATCATAAATTATTCTAATTAGGTTAATACTATATAATATTCTAAGATTATATACTAAAATTGTGGCCTTAAAAAATGTAAAACAAGTATTTGGAAGATCTTGAAATTATTCCACTAATGTATTTCAATTATTATTATCAATTAATTTAATTAAATTTTTAGTAGTTGTACTAACAACAATAAAGTAGCCTTTTAAATTACAAAATATTTCTGAAATTACATTTTATAAGGAAAAAACGTCAATATTTTAATTGCGAGCTTTGTAAATTATAATAAAATTATTTACTATAAATTGAAAATTACAATAGTATTTCCTCATCAATTAATGGACAGATACTGGGAAGGGTCACTCACTTGGGTGTCAATGTGTGTGACCATGCTACTAAAAAAAGGGCCTAAATGTGTTACAGAATACAGAAAAAAAACACTCCTTTTTACTATATTTAAATTAAAGTATTATGACAGAGTAAAAATAACCCTAAACATCAGGGTGGATCGATAGTAGACAACAGAAATGCAGGTCAAAGTGACATACATGTTCGGTAAATTATCTAATATATTTATTATATTTCTTGATTTCAGATTGGAAAGTTATCCTGCACCAATAACATGATAAATGAATGTTGGAAGAATTTCATCCTAGAATAAAATAAGCTGGAGATTAATCTGTACATTCCAGTCATTTGATAATGGTAGCTGATAGCATTTGAATCTTTCATGCAAGTTTCAAATGCATCAGTGTATAATATAGGCTTATATTAAACAACCAATACATTATTTGAATATACTGTACTACGTTTTTGTGTAGACTAACTTTAACAAGTAACAAAGATCTAATAATTAACCATAAAATAATTGACAAATGATAAATTCAAACCATATGAATTGCTTACCTTTTCCTTGCTGCTGGTTCTTTTCTGTGGGTCTGTGCGCATTTTCAATTTCTCTTGTTTTTTCATGTCCGTGGTACACCAGGTTGCTTTGGATTTTAGTATTCTTCATGGCCTTATCGATTAATGGATCACTCTGTACGGATATTTTCTTCCCCTTCTGTTCCTCAAGATCTTTGTGATATTGAATCTAATTAGTAGTGGCAAATTTGAAAGTTTCAATTCAACCTTCTGTCTAAAGCTGCGTTCACACTGGATTAATTTTGGCCAAACTAACCAGGTACTTCATCGGTTTCACCATAAAAATGCAGTGCGAACAATTTGTGTGATGCCCTGTCCAGACTATTAAATTTTATTTGATAAAAGCATGTGACATGCCTAAATATGGTCATGATGACATCACATCATGACCATATATAGGCACATCATGTCTATATATGGGCATACAACTGGTTTTTTTGTCAAAGAAAATTTGATAGTGTGGATAGAGCTGTTTTTCCTGAGCAGAAAAAGTCCCAAATGCGATTTTCACTTAGCGAAAAATAAATTTGGTGCCACGATTATTCTAGAGCGGCACTTATTGGATCATTTATGGTTAGAGGACACAAAACAATTAACACGTATTGGGTCACTTATGAGCACAATAATTTACCGTGCTCAAACGAATAAGAGAAAATTAACACCAACTGACCACCAAGAGTAAAAGTCCAGCTCCGAAGGGAATAATAAATTTGAATTATTCAAGACATTGAAGGGGTGTTGAAAGTAATATTTGAAATGGCTGAGAAAAAAATAGGGAAAACAGATGAAAATATACTCCCCCTTTTCCCTCATTAAAAAAAGTTTTTAATCATTCAAAAATCTGTGTCTTATTAGCTTTTCCCGATTATTTCTTTAAATACCCCTTCAATGTCTTGGAATATAATTTTTTGTTCTTTTATCTTAGTTTATCTAGCCTGATGTTACTATCAACTTTGATGAGAGGCAGCCACAATACTTATTTAATTTATAGCCACGAAAGAAATACTCATAGGGCTGAAACAGCGCGAGTCTCTTCACAACAGTACAAGCTGGTGTAACTAAGCATGGCCAGCCGAGAATGGTCAACATGTGGTTCGAATCCTCAACAACAAGGTTCAGAATCATAATGGAAATCGTTGTGCTAAACCGCCTTCCACTTGTATGACATCGATTTTTTTTACCCTCCAGTGCCTGGCTTTAAATATCTAAAAACTTACATTACTGGTGATTTTTGTGTTGGCCTTCACTCTTCTAATTTCAGGATTGTCAGCCACTTGAGTAAATTTTGTTTGTGGATAATGACTGCAAATAAAAAATATTACTTAAAAACATTAGATTTTGTTATTTATTTATTTATTCATTATAAATTTGACAATTATACAAATGTTCAGGAGGATATAATGGGCTAAGGGCCCAACAAAAAAATGGATGCTTCTTGACATAAAATAAAATTCTATATAAAATTTTTAAAATGTGCACATCATAGTTAAAATTTATAAACACAAATATCACTGAAAAAAAAGAGAAAAAGAAAAAAGGTTCATCTATCTCTTGTTTTAATATGATTTATAAAATATCAACTGAATTTTGATGTGTATTTATGTTCTCAACATTTCAAATCTGGTATCACAAAATATATAATTTGTTGTCATCCTCAACCCTTGGCTACTATACAGTATCTGATGGTTCTCTTCTGAACACAACAATAGTTTTATTACAAAGTATTTATAATAATAATGTTGATGTTTTTGACATGGCCTTGGGTAGCAACACATACCTACGGTATGTCTAAAAACTGCACACTGCTAAAGTTGGTTTCAAAAAGGCTCATTGGGGTTTCAGTATGTACACACAAACATCTACATTATTCCTACTGTAACATAATAGCATTTACAGTGAAGGAATACCATTAGTTTTTTTTTGTTTGACAGAACATAATATTTATTCACTAAAGGTGTGTGGTTACGGAGACAATATATTATGTGTCTATGTTATACTTAAATTTTGAATACAGGTAAAATAAATATTGAGTACAGTAATTTATCGTAATTACTAACTTTATCCTTTGAAGTTTAAATGTTGGTCTCTAGTGTCTAGAAAAATTCTAATTGTTAAAATATTAGTATAATAGTACCTGTAATTTTTTATTTAAGGGAAAAAAAAAAGGGAAAAATCTTATCTGTACCTTATGTGACTATGTAACAGTAACACCCTCTATAATACAGTATAGTTGCTATAATAATTTTCTGTACTTGAAAGGTTTGCAAAATAACACAAAATATAATATGAACATTTTGAGCCTGAAATTGGCAAATAAGACAACTGAGCATGGGCAAAATTTTATTGAAAAATGTGTATACAATCATGATTCTGAGAAACTGATTAAATGCACATCTGCAGTATTTATTTAATAGCCTTCGACTATCAGATTATAAAACTGTAAGTATCATCGAAAGATGCTTCAAAAAAGCAATTCGATTTAACAGCTGAAGATATGCATAGTTTATCCACACATCAACTCATGACAATATTAATGATTTCAATAACTAACAGCTCAACAGACATGCAAGAAGCTTCAAAGGAAATCCTTTAAAAAAATACTGAATACATAAATATCTGTCACATTCCAGCTTAACTGAAATCACAAGAAATCTTAATATTGAATTCTTTAAGGCTAATATAAAACCGGATCTACCATCAGCATACATAGAATTCATATGGGTAATTTGATCATGTGAATTTATACTTTCACACTATCCATGCAGGCTATGTGGAGGGCATTCTAATTTTGCTGTCAATACTTTAAGAATCTGTAAATGAAGCATGTGGAATTTATGATCAAATGTCACACTATACTCAGAATTTATCTTACAGTTGTAAGCCTACAGTATACTATTTCTATAGTCATTACTGTATAAAAAGGTTTTTGTTAATATTATTATAGTTGATTTATTATTACTTTACTGTATAAAAAGGTTTTCGTTAATATTGTTATAGTTGATTTATTATTACTTTACTGAATAAAAAGGTTTTCGTTAATATTATTATAGTTGATTTATTATTACTTTAGAATTAAAACTTTATCATTTTCATAATTAAGAAGACTGATTTCTACTTGGCACATATCTCAATAATAATAAATACATGGCCAACCAAATAAAATTTTGCGATACAGTAATATTAAAAATATACAGTACTATACTTCATTTATTTTCGTTTGTATGTAATATCAGTTAATTTCTTCTTGCTGTGTATCTACAGTAATCTTTATCTTTCACTTTGTATTAAAAACTAATTACATTTTCCATCATATTTTTTGTTTTTATGTTTTACATACTTATCTATTGAGATCTCTTTCAGTATTTTTGGATTGCATGCATTATCGTAAGTTTTGAATGCCTGACTAGTTCTTGCTTATAATCAATAATAAAGTGACAATGATGATGTTTGGCAGTTTAGTCTTTCCAATATAAAAGTTTAATACCACTTTTGTACATGTATAACATAAATAAAATAAAGACAAATAAAACATGCTTTTCTTTCTGAAACACAGTAGACAAGTCAAATTCAGTTAATCAAATTTGGTTATTCGTGAAATAGTACAATAGGCAAAAATACGGCACTGTCTGAAATTATAAATTTAAAAACTACAAGTATTGTTTTAAAGCAAGCATACAGATGTGACTTTCTGAGAAGTTTTGTGATAAAATAAATTATTTGTTAAAAGTTAATATGGAAAACTGACATCGATAAAGATAAATTATTTTGAAAATCATTAGTAGTTTTTATGTTTACACATTGGTATATATGTAAATGTATGTTTTCAAATAATGTAAATATTGTAAATTATGTGGATTTGCCAGGAAAGAAAAACAAATTCAGTTGTAAAAGAAATCATGTTTTGTATCAATGGTGCTACCTGCCACAGGTACTGTAACTGGTCTTTTAGAAAGAACCATTTCTACTGTAGAAACAGTTTATTTTTTAGCCAGCAGAAATATTCCCAAACATTTACATTACATACTGTAGATCTGATGATAATAAAAAAATTTGCTTTTCTATGTCTGTTAGAAATTTAAAAATTCTTCAGAAGAAAGTGTTGTTTCAAACAGTATGCCTGCATCTAGTTACTGTACCTTTCAAATAAATTTTATTTACTTTATTACTCTCTTATTGAATTACTTAATTAACTACCACCGTATTATGTTTAATATTACCGTACTTATTCAATTATTGTACATTGGAATGGCTAAGTAGGTAGACACAATGTGTAACCCAAAACAAGTTGGTCACATGATGTTTAATAATGTGGTAAAGTGTAAATGTATAGGAAAAGGAAATGTTTAATGCTTTTAAAACAATGGCCCAATGATGTGTGACATACTGTACCGCAATGAAGGCAGTTTAAGCCTGGCTTCTATGTACAATCATTACATTCTTTTAAAGAATGATGTTAATATGAATCAGGAGTGCAACATTTGCAGTGAAAACACCCTAGCGACAATGTAGCGATTACTGAAATTTGACTTCTGGGTGATGTGGAGACCGTAGCCTATCTTCCCTCGGCCCTCGGGAAGATAGGCTACAGTCTCCACATCACTGAGGGCGAACAGATTTCACCATTCCCCTCATGAGCAGTCAATATTTATATACTATGACATCCTTAGATGGAGAATTTTTTAATGTAATTTTTATTTTTCCCATTATTTCCAAATATTTTTACAAATTTTAAGAGACCTGGGTCAGCTGATGCAGCTTCCACCACCTTGTATCTGCCCTGCCAACCAACACTGTTGAACATCTAAATATACTGTATTCCTTGCAGCACAAACATTCTGATGAACCCCATGATGCAATTTCCTATACTGATCATCACATGCACTGTGTTACTGTATTATTATATACCCTAAAGTTCATGTGACATTCACCTTCCTTGATGCTGCCAATAAAGGTTTATATCCGACATCGGAATCAATCTTAATTATCAGTCAATATAATGAAATGTATCCTCAACGCATTAACATTAGATACATTATTTGGGTCCATTATCAAGGACTTTAGTTCGAAAGACCTGCCTACTTGTTTACTCAGGAAGTACGAGAAGATATCCTGAAGTTTCATCAAAGTTAAACTGGATCATAATTTATAATAATCAATTTTCTAGAGCATAATGTAATCAATTTTTTTAACATAATCCACTGTGTAATTTAACATACCTCACAAGAAAAAACATAAACCTACAGTTAGTAAAATATAACCTGCAAGTACATCATCTGTCAAGTCTTGGGTTTAATGATCTTAAATTAGCAAAAGTATCTAAATTCTAAACTAACTGAAGGTTAAACCACAAAATCTTACCTGCTGTAGGTCAATAACTTGCACATGGTTAAATCTATTTTTAATACATTTTTTGCATTTAATGTTATTTTTAATTTTTTAAAAAGTTTCAATGTTACCTGGCAAGATTTTCGTCTTTTGTTGTATTTCGAGTGTTGAGGGCCTCTGACAAAAGTATTTTTTTATATCAGGATTTCCCGCATTAAATAAAATCATAAAAGAGTACCTTGTATGACACCCAGCAATTGTATTAAACCATTCAATACAATGGTGTCAATACCATTAGTGATAATTTTATTACTTACAAATTGCTATTAATTAAATTAATAGTTGTTATTGTAATTATTAATGTAAAATGGGCTTTATTATTTATTTAGCTTGATTGATATTTGTATTATATTTTGTAAGAGAATTTGATAGCGTTTTCTCATGACGTGATGAAATTTGATATTTTTGTGAATATTATAGTTTTTACCGTCTAAACTAATAATGTAGATAAGGCAAATTTACATAAATATTCAGTAATTATTCAGGATAATTTATTGTCATTTGTAAAATTCATTTTACATTGAAATAGATTTGCCATTGGGTCCATTCTTAAATAAATAACAGAAATACTAACAAGATAACAAAATCGGGTAACACTGGGTTTGAAAGCACATAGAGACATTGCATTGTATGTGCTACATATAAATGGAAGACCATGACCATAATAAACTGCTGTATTTCTTTTTTCTGGAAGTGTATTCTGTTCAACATTCTTTTTTCTAAATGTATAATTGACCACTCAACAATAAAACAAAAAAGGCAAAAGCACTTACGCATTACAATAAGGCTTTTTATCATATCCTTTGTAGTTTTTCATTGTAAGCTTTGTGTTGCAAAAATCGCAATTGAAACATCCTTTGTGCCATACCTTTAAAAAGAGAAATGTTGTCATTAGCATACAGGGTCCACTATGAACCTAAAGCAGTGGTGTATCTGGGAGTCTTGAATCAAATGGGGAGGGGAGAACTGACTGGGAGGAGGGAGAAGGTGGAGTGGGACCTCAATGATTAAATGAGGGGAACTACTACGGTAGGTCACAAAATGCGATGATAATTATGACGTGATTTTAATTATCAACAACATTTTTTTGCTTTAGACATTTTCAAGGCAAGTGCAGAGCTTTTTTCTTTGTGGGGGGGGGAAGGCAAACACACTGGAAGGAGAGGGGGAAGCACACTGAAAGGGGAGGGGATAATCCCTAAATACACCACTGACCTAAAGCAATGGTTCTCAAACTTTTTGAGCAATGAGCCAAAGAGGATGTATAGGAAATTTGCCACGACATACTCAAAACAGGTCATATAACAAAATTAAATAAAATTTTGAAATGATAGACTGATCTGTCTTATCAGATATAAAATTTAATCATTGATTTTTTGGTCGGGACCCATAGCTCGAGAACTGCACACTGTTGAGATAAATGCTCTTTACCCTTTTTTGAAAATCATTCACATAGAGTGGCAATGACAGTGGGGGTCTAGGGTAATGTAGGTTGCTCAGGACTCTCCATTGGAGAACCATGGATCCCCTGTACTGTAGGTGAAGAAGCCAATAATTTTTTCCGTAGAACACTACTACGAAAAAGCATTTTACATTCTGAGTGTGCCTTTTTTTAAGCATCTAGAGGTCACCTATTCTTAAAATTTGCTCCAGACATGGTGGGGCTAGAGGTGGTAGTGGGCACTCTGGTGACACCAGTGATCATCACACATTAATTTTTCTTATCACAATCAGCATCATCATCAGTCTTCTGTAAAGATTATGATGGACATCCCCATCTACAACAATGTCACTGAAGAGCAAGCAACATATGTGACAAAATGAAATTCGTAAAAAAACAACTTTGTCACTAATTCGCTAATTGTCAATAGCGAATATAATCACTGTCCTACCTGTAGGTGATAATCCCTTGCACACAACCGACAAACATACACACACATACACCCCCTCCCCACACACACACACAAACGATGCTTTTACACAAACTAAATCTCAATGAAGAGTGGAGTTGTTTTTGGTCATGAGAAAAAAATCCTGCAACAACACTGACGACAGGAATTAACCCAGCAGTATTTACTATGGGATTGGAAGGAAGGCAAGCATCTTATACTTCTTAACCACCAAGCTATTTTTAACTCCACTCCTCCAAGGCCTACATCTAATTCTTTGCGCCAGAATTCATCCGTAAGACTCTAAGCTAGGCCTAGGCTAGTCACATTTGATAAAAATCTACCCGCCCACCCACCATCAACCAAGGAAAGAGGCCCGGCAGTTTTTCGGGGTGGTAGAAGGCTTAATCTGAAGAAGGCCAGGGGAGAAGATATTTTAACGCAGCTGCTTACCTGGTCCAAGCATTTAAGCTGTTCCATCGGGTAGACAGTGCGATTGCATCTTGCACAAGGCTTGTTCATATTTATCGTATTTGTTTTACTGAATCCAAAGAGAATAGGCCTAAGGTGAAGACCTCAATTTAAGCAAAAGTATCGTCTTTCTTGTTGACGCTACAAACTCTCTCACCGCGCAATCTCCGATTCTGAAGTTGCATGTTTTTTTGTTTTTATAACGCAAGCTTGCCCACAGGTGGCGACAAACAAGGTTTTTAAAATGGAGTTTTGTTAAAAAGTAGTACACATAAAATTGTTTGATGTTTGATGTTACCAGGGCTGCAGCCAGAACTGCCATTGTGGATAGGGTGTGTGCACAGATAAGGGCCAGGGACAGACCCGGTTGGATTGCAGCTTCAATTATTCATTGGCAAATTTTGATGCCCAAAAACTAGCATAACGATATAGATTTACTTGTGAAAATGATTTCTTTTTAATAAATACCGGTACTCTATTTTAGGGCCTACAGAAAATAACAAATTGCATGCATACATATTATTTTCATCTCGGGGATTTTCTGAACGAAAATATGACTGTCTTTGATAAGCATTATGATGTTCGTATTTTGAATAAAACTTTTCAGAATACTAATAGGCCTACAGTACCAATTGTTCTGTGGAGCAATACTAATTATTTTCTTATAATAATATATAGGTTGCTGCGTAGCACTGTAAACACAATATATGATGTTTTTATTCGAGCATAGCATATTTGGGTGGGGTACTGTATGCACGTAATGTGTATTATGTACATTATTTGTGTGGGGAGGGTGAGGGATGTTCATGATTTATTTTAGATCTAAGTTGTGGGGAGGGTGAGGGATGTTCATGATTTATTTTAGATCTAAGTTGTATTTTCTTTAGTTAAGTTCTTTCATTTGTTTAGCTTTAAGTTGTTGTTTTACTCTTTGTTCATAAGTTCTTTCATTTGTTTAGCTTTAAGTTG